CACCATTGCTGTCTATTGTTTTACTTTTACTGCAGAGTCCTATAACTTGTCCAATAACTGGGGAAGTCTGACTTACAGTCTCAAACCAAGAGAGTCAGACCATTGACTGGACTCAGACCTGTCACAACATCACTCTCTGCAGTGGCTTCCTTGTTGATATATCAGATTTCTTTTTAAAACACTCTAAAATTTCATTACAGAATAATTTATGTTGGAAGAGACCTTTAAGATCATCAAGTCCAGCTGTTAACCCAGTACTTACCAGTCCGCCTCTAAGCCAGGTCCCTTTTTAAAAATACCTCCAGGAATGGTGACTGCATCACTTTTTTAGATGGCCTGTTCCAATGCTTGACAGCCCTTTACATGGAGATTTTTTTCCTGATATCCAATATAAACTCCCCTGGCACAACTTGGGTCCATTTCCTCGAGTCCTTTTGCTTGTTGTCTGAGAGAAGAGACTGGCTTCCACTCGGCTACAACCTCCTTTCAGGTATTTGTAGAGAACTCCCCTAAGCCTCCTTTTCTCCAGGCTAAACACCCCCCATTCCCTCAGCTGCTCCTCATATGACTGTTCCAGACCCTTCCCCAGCTCCATTGCCCTTCTTTGGACTTGCTCCAGCACCTCAAGAGCTTTCTTGGAGGAAGAGACCCAAAACTTGATAGAAGTTTTGTCTGAAATCAAGAAATTCATCTCATTGTTGTTGCCTTCTGTTACACCTTGTGTAGAAAGAGAATTTGACTAAGATTATTGACAAAAGTTCAGCACCTTAGCTGCTGTACTCACCCCTAACCCTGGTAGGAAACCTTTCAGCTAAGAGAGGGTTTCAGCTAAGCAGCTGACCTGAGAAGTGTTAAGTGCTACTGCTCAGATACTGCACAGTGAAGCTACAGAGAACTCACAGGGAAATAAAGATACCCATGTTCAAGTTGTCTGTATTCCTAATAATATGTTCCCAAAATAACTCTGTGTATTTCTGTTCCACCATGCACTTAATTAGAAGACAGTATTTCACAAACCTTTCCTGTTTTATATGCCTGTTATTTTTTCTACTTGATAAACCTTGTGATGCAGTCTGTATTCCTCTTGACACATTGAGGAAAATCCACAATCAAGGGGAGAAAATTAAAAAAAAAAAAAAAAAAAAAAAAAAAACAACAAATTATACAAGAAATGTGGAGAAGAACTGTAAAATCTCTGACATTTCTTCCAGCAAAGCTATATTTGACACTGGGAGTTTTAGAATAAAAAAACAATCCACACAGGCAAAGTGGCTATGTGACCGCTGTTCACATCTGCTCTGGAGCTCGCAGAAGTCAGTGGAATCCTACTCATTGATTTCAAGAAACTTTAATGCCCACCTTTGATCTCCACTTACCCCTTCTGAATTCACCAGGCTTTTTCCCAGCATTGATGTAAATAATGCAATGCTAAGCTTGTCTTTTGACCTTTTTTTGTCCTGCACTTATTTTGATGCCCAAAAACACTCCTTCATCTGATGTCAGGAAAAGCAACCACATTTAGACTCTGCTATCAGGATAATGTACAGTTCTGGTGACTGTAGTTTTCCTCATGAGCAGAGCTGAAATATCATGGAATAAGGGCAGCCTGTCTGCTCCCTAGGCAAACTCACCAAGGGAAGCCACAACCAAGCAACAAGAGATAAAACAATTGGCTTCTTTCATTATCTTACTACTATTCTCAATTAAGCATCCTCTCACAGGACTGGTCTTTCAAATTAAAATCACAAGCAGAAAATAAGATCACATAAAGATGAAAGTGGCTGAAAATCTTGGGGGAAAGAAAAGTATCTTGAGTTACCAGTCAATACAGAAACTCCTTTCTGTGTAGATTTTGACAGAATTAGCAAAGGTAAATGCCTCTGGGAGGGCCACTCACTGTACTGGGTCACTTAAGACTAACAAGAGTACTTTTAGAGTAAGGGTTTTACTTCAGAAATTGACCCAAAAAATTCTCCTTTAGAGGAAGGGTACATGGTTGACTGCACTTTTTCTCACTTTCTAGCTTTCTCTCTCTCTCCCTACATACCCATATGGCCAACAGCCCTTAGTAATTTTTCTCTAAAATTCTGCCTATAGCAAAGTTAACATTCAGGCACAAAGCCCCAGGCTCTTTACACTCTTAAGTGTTTAAGCTTCATTATTCTTTTCCTAAATTGCTATGTCCTAGAAGCAAGGAGTGGAAACAGCCATTTCAGCCACTTCATATGCAGACTGACCACATGCTTCAGCCTGTACCTTTTTTACAAAATGTAGTCTCTGCTCAGGAAGTGCTTAAACTGAGCTGTACAATCCATGTGGCCTCTGTACCTCAATACCAGGTGCACAAGCAATGGTGACCATGCACTTGTTTTTCAGACCCGTACAGGGACACAAGCAGAAGTGCCTGGAAAGACCAGCTTTCCAGAGAGCCCCACAGCAGGAGACAGATGTGGCCAAGGCATTTCTTGATCCTTTTTACATTGGGAATGTCCAAAGAGCATCCCAAAACTTGGGCACATATAGTGCATTTAATGTTGCTGCCAGTGCTGGGGGAAGGATATTATATTTAAGGGTGATATAGCCATGAATGAACATCCAACAAAAAACTGACCCATGACCATAATCTTGAGAAGAACTGTGCAGAAATGTCAGAGATGTCCCGGTTAATGCTGCACCATGCTGTGTAAGTGGGTATGTCTTAATATATAAAGTCACAGCAGGAGTGCTCAAGAAGTCATAGCATTTCAGGGTCTTGACTTATTTTTTCAGAGAAGCACTATTTGTTTCTCGTCACATGGGGCTTCTTGTGGCAGCTTGATGCACCAATTTTTAGTATATTTTGGGAATTATTGGTTTTACTATAATGCCTCTTTTACAGGACTCTGTCAGTGGAAAGCCACTTAATGTTGTGGATTTGCTGGGTAGGGAGTAGAAAATTGTCTTGTTGCAAAGAGAGGTTGGCCTTTGCCTCTAGTCTGGAGGGAGGCTTGCAGAGCTATGTGTTGCTTCATGTGTTTTGTTAACAATGAGTTAGACTGAGAGCATCAAATACATCCAATATCTGAACAACAGCTGCACTAATTTCTGTGACCATGGGAAAAACAATGCAAAAATGTAGATCCAAGGACCAAGAATTAAAGGGCTTTTTGATTGCAGAAGCTGAGCAAGGCTGAAGTAACAAACTCAGAATGATCCCAAAGTTGTAGTTCATTTCAGCTGTCTGAGTGTAGTTACCTCAGATTGGGAATGCAGATTGGACAGTCTGTGTCCAGTCTTTGAAGTACCTCTTACAATATAACACAATAATTTTAGTGTTTCTGTAATGTAATTATTTCCCTCAGGATATTTCCAAACACTAGGAAGTCTCTGGAGTAACTCTGAACTCTACAAGTTGACAAGTGAACAAGCTGGTCCAAGCCTTTTCAAAAGCTCAGATCCTGGCAGGCTGCATTAACAGCTCTGGGAAATGATGACATCAGCACCTCAGTTCACATCTCCTTACAGTGTCCTCCAAAAGCTGTCACAGATCCTGCATTGAATCTTGCATTTCTCACCTGTCAGAAGTCACAAGGCCTGAGCAGCAACATAGTCAAAAGGGGAAAATGAAAATATAACAGAGTTGATCTTAAACAAAGGTGTGCAATGGAGCAGAGATAACTTATGTTGTGAGAAAATCCAAGCCTTAAAATATGCTCAGCATGACTAGGACCACTATTTTCCACACCAGCAATAACTGAAAGACTTGGTGGCAGTTTTGTGGGTTCATCTTTTCCAGTAGTGCAGCCAAACGATGCTCATCTATGAGAAACAATTTAGGGATAACATAATCATCCTGCCAGTGTGATTTACAACAGATTCCATTGACCCAAAGGTCACTGTAATTCCTCAAGCACAGATAACCTGTTATTATTCCATGGCTGAAAAATCATTTTTATATATATTTTTGTATGTGTGTGTGTGTGTGTGTGTGTGTGTGTATATAAGCCCTTTATTTACTGTAACAATAAACTATAGTGATCTGATCAGGCATCACTGCCTCAGCAGAGGCAGCCTGACTCCATAAAAGTACATTAAATCATTGCTGCTAGGATTATGAATAACAACTTATGGGAGTCCTCAAGAAAGTCCTATGACCATTTAAAATGAGGAAAGAACTGCGTGTATGCTATTATCCTTCCTCCAAGAAAAACTTTTAATTTATAAAAGCAGTGCATTGTTCAATATCCATTGTGTTTTCTTCATTAACTCCAGGGTTTGCCTCATTTCATTTTTCCACCAAAGGGGAAGAATATATTGAGCTGTCAGTGATGTTATCTATGAAGAGAGGCTGCGGATTTCATATATTGAATCTAAGCTGTACAAATAGTCAAGTAATAGGAAAGGCTTTGTAATAAAACACAGGTAAAAATAAGCTTGCAAAACTCAAAGGGAAAAGAAAAGTCTAAATTGTTTATATAATCAGTTATATTCCCCTGAGTTGTTGATCTGCCTCTTTCTTTTGAAAATTTTCTCTTGTATTTTCCAGAGTTGGTAAACCAGTATTTGAAAACGGCTGCAGAAAAATATTATCTCAATTTCTTAACAGATATTGTGATCCAGCTCTTATCCATGTGGGGGGAAGCTCAGATGTGCACATACATGCACACACGCTCTGATCTGACTGGGTTTTGGAAAAGTGAAGTAGGAACTGTGTAGGTACCCAGTTTGTGGTGATTCTGAGTGGGGCTGGCCCAGCCTCATCCCCAGTGGGTGCAGCTGTGAGCAGCAGGTGAGCAGCACTGACAGCAATGAGCCATGGAGTGCCCAGGGGCACTGACCAACCACCATGAGGGGCAGGGGGCACTCAGGTGCAATGCATCAACATGAGGGGGATAAAAGGATGGGCTAAAGAACCAGAAGGGCAGATACTTGCAGCCTTCTGAAGCAGTTTGGTCTTTCTCTGTATGGGTTGAAGCTTTCTGGAATTGCGTGGTGACACTCTGTAGCAGATGCTTGCAGCCTTCTGAAGCGGTTTGGTCTTTCTCTGTGTGGGTTGAAGCTTTCTGGAATTGCATGGTGACACTCTGTGTATTGTGGCTGTGACAGAACAGAGCAACGTTGGCTGGGTAAGGACAGTGAAAGGAGGTTTCTTTCTGTTAAAAGTTGGGCCTTGCTCATTTCATTTGATCTGAACCATTTGACAGGGGAAAACCTGCAATGCAAAAGGAAGGAGATATGGTTGCTAGGAATGAGAAGAGATTGGACTAATTTCCATGAAAATAGCAATTGAACAAGTTTAAGTGGGAGAACTCTGATGCTGGGGAGTGGGGAGGCTTCTTCCCTGAGAAGCTGGAGGAACCTCAAAAGTCTTGAAAATGTACCATTATGGAGGGACTAGCAAAACCAGTTGAGAAGATAGAGAGGATTTAGGTAACCAGAAGGACTGAAATGAGGTCAAAAAGACATTTGAGACTTTGGGAATAGCCATTTCAACACAATAAAAATGAAAGATCAAATTCACGGGAATTAACCACTTACATGGAAATAACTGAGGCAGAAATCAGGCAGTAACCGGAGCTGGAGGCAGTGTGGGGGTGAGATTGACATGAAGTTTTGTGGGGAATGGCCATTGAGTAAAATATTTCCTACAGTGAGATGAAAAAGAGCCATAAAAAGGATTGAAGAATGTGAGTGAATGTTTCAAACACTGTGGGAATAGGAGAAATAACAGTAGTGCAATGACCAATCCACAGATGACTTTGGAGCCTGTGGCACTTCTGATAACTCCAAGTTATATAATAAATTACCTTGATATATTAAATTTTAACACAAGACATTCAGGAACACAGCCTCACTTAAGAAAATGCAATGTGTTCCTGAGCAAATGTTTTCCAAATTCCATCCCGTCTTCAGCTCTTCGGATAAATGTTGAGGCACATCACAAAAATAGTGCATACTGAGATAGGAATATACAGGTCTGCCAAATTTTTGCCTGCCAAAATGACTAGAGAATCAATATAAAAATAGATGAAATTGCATTTATTTATATGCCACATGTATTTGTTTCACACACAGTCCCCCAGCAGTCTTGTCTTCTCTCTAATTCTCCCCCTCCTTTCTCTTAAATCTAATTTTCTTTGCAACAGTTCAGCTCTAGATGCTACAGATTTTTGTTTGCTTGTTTGTTTAGTGAATAATCATCCAAAACCTCTAGAGCTTATCCTTTTCTAATCTAATGTGAAATGTTAAAAGCTGCTTACCAGCAAATTAGCTCTTTCCAAATTATGTGCACACCAGATCCTACAAGTCAAATAAAATTAAACTGAAGTTTGGTTTCCACTATGGTAGAGATAACTTAGAAACTGGCCCTGGGGCACACAGTCAACTAACTGGCTGTCTGGCTTAATAGCACAAAGCACATGCTGTAATTATGCCCATCATTTCCTCTTAACCACTCATTGCTGCAAAATGAGCACTTCAGAGATGTTTACCTGCCTTTTCAGGGATAAGGTACACCATGAAATTCTACTGGCCAAACAGAGCTGCAAGTCACAGCTTAGGGCATGCTGCTTTTCAGGAATATGCTTGAGGTGTCTGACAGCTAAGCATCAGCCAACATAAATGACAATAGCACAGGGATCTTCTGCCTCCCCAAGCTGCATTTTTCAACCATTTTTCAACCAATCCCCCTTCTGAACTTCATTGGGAGTATCCTGCTTATTTGCACAAAGGTGTGCTAGCACAAGACATTGTAAAGAATTTCATGGTTCAGACATTGCCTGACAAAGATTGATCTGCTGCTTTGATTACAAATTACTTTTTATTCCAAAGTCTCTGTCTCACAATCACAGTCTATGATGGAAATGCATCAGGAGGAAAAACTGTCCCGCCCTTAAAGGGTAAAGCCCCAGCTCTGCTGAAATCAAGGGCTGTTTGACCCTGTGCAGCCTGTACAAATTAAATGCAGGGAGAAAAGTAGTGGGACAGGTTAGAAAAGGGAGTTTCTTCATTTTGAGAAGCAGCCTACCTGTTTATCATCATTCACTCCAGACCAGAAACCTTCCACAATGCAACAAGAAACTAATGGGGAACAAAAAAAATGTGAGAAAAAGATGGAGAGCAGGACACTGCAGGGTTTTGTTATTGGTGGTGCCAAGCAGTCCATAAACTCCCCTTTCTCAATACCATTGCATGAGTTCAAGCAGTTATACTCATCTGGATCTCCCTGAGCTTCTGGTTCTCACAGACTTTGGGTCATGTCCATAGTGTGTGTTACCACCAGCATGTGTAGCTGTAACACAAGTATTTCTTTAATTTTTACAGGTTTTATTGAACGAGTGCCACTAATCAGCCAGGGTAATTTCACAAGGACAGAGAAAATCCACATGATGTGCCTTTTCAAAGGACCAGCATGTTATCTATAAAAAATTCTTAAATTATTTCTAATGGTTGAGTTCCTTCAAATGTGATTGTCAAAATACACCTAAAATGCACCTGTGAGGCTGAAGCTATTCATAAAACATAACCAGTATTTTCAGCTGGAAAAAAAAAGTTTTAAAGCAACATTTCTAAAATTATAGAGGAATGTTTCAGAATATAGCAGCTCCGTTTAGGGTATATATGAAAGGATATTTTTCAAAAAGAATTAATTTAGGAGAAAAAAATCAGTTCAGATGGACTAAATTTTAATATATGGAGGGTTTTGGTTTGGTTTTTTGTTTGCTGGTTTGTTTTCTTCTTAGTTTGTCCAGGAGTCCATGAGTTTTACTGCTCAGATCCTAGGGGAAATGCTATTTTTATAAACAATGTGTTACCAGAATATATGCCTAATAAAACAATGTGCTTTCATGATATACTTTTAAGACTGCTAGCCTTGTCAGAGATTAATTCAGCCTCTCTGAAGTGGAATGCAAAGCAGAATATCAAGGAAGATAGATAGTAATCAATCAATATTGTAAATCACTACTAAAATCCACAGATAGCACAAATGGTGTAGAGTAACAGCAACACCTTTATATGGAATTCATGTCAAAGCAGCACTGCTCTGGCACCCTGGGGTTCAATTATATCTACAGTGGCTCTGTATAGGATTAGCCTCTCATCTCTGGGAGGGTGGAGAGGAGGAGAATGTCACCCAGAATTGTCAAACCTTGAATGAAAAATGTAGGTGTGAGCGTTCTTTCTGGAACTTTAAAGTGAGTTTAATTCAAATGAAACAATCCAATAAATAATACCTTGCAGCTGACTTTGAGATGTTTGCACTGGCACTACTGAATTCTACAGCTGCAAACTTTCATTCCCATCATAAATGACATGCCATAATTATATTTTTACAGGGTTCTCTATATATGTTGATTTATTTTTTTAATTTCTCTTTCATTAATAGCTTTTTTCTTCCTTGGCAAGATAAGGTGATCTGAAAAATGCCCACTGGCTTATTCAGTGACCCTGTTTTTATGGCGTGACAATACCAATAATAAAAACTAATTTCCTCCTCTGATTTTCTCATACATACAAAGCAAAGATTACTTCTGTCTGTGCTTGAAAGCTATTGAGAATGCAAAGGCCATCAAATAACTGGTCTAAAACACATGCATATTTTTTCATCTTCTCTTTAAAAGCTCACTTTTTAATCCATTAACAATCACAAGCAGCAAACTGAGTCACGGGTGGTTTAGGTTCCCCTGTTGTGGTATGTCACTGCTGTAATTGATTGCCAGTTAACTTGTGTTAGCCAGCCAGTTCAGTAAGCCACAAACATTCATCTCTGGGAATAAATGTTTGCAGACTGTCTATACTAGCATTTACAAATGCATTATCTAACCAGAGTTAATTCCAGCCATCCTTTAACAAAATTAAATCTAGTATAGAGAAGAGCTCTGTTATCAGTTATCCTTGTACATCTGCTTCGTGGAACGTTTGGATGTGTTATTTGTTACTGACAGTATTGCATTATGGGCTCTTGCACTGGGGCTTCCCTGGAGCTGGCCTTGTTTGTCTTTCCTCCTTGGGATTTTTGGCCTCCATGACTGCTTTTTCCCTGTGTTGCCTCCTGAGAGCCCCTCCTGAACCCACGTGTGGATCAGCTGCCTGGCACAAGTCTCTGCTTTGCCAGTAGGGGTGGCCTGCTCCTCTCCATGGTGTTTGTACACACCTTGATGCACATCAGCACCAGACAGAGGGCTGTGGAATTACATGATGTACTGTTTCTGTATCCCTAAATGTACCTCTCCACAGTGAGGGTTAAGGGAGGGCATGCAGACACAAGAAATGGTTTTTTCCCAAAACTATGAAGTGTCCAGCTGACATGGCAGGAAAGTCAGGGAGGAAGGAAGGACACAAGACAAATCCTGTGGTCCTCATTTCTCACTGTTGAAGGAAGATAGAAAAATGGGAGAGATAAGGGAAGCAATAGGGTAATGGCAGGAAACCATCAGAAAAAAAGTGAAGGAAGAGCAGGTTAAGTCAGGATGGTAGCCAAGTGTGTTTTCCAGTGGATGTGAGAAGTGGTGCTCACGCTTCTGCTGCCTCCTTCCACGGCTGTTAAGCACAGAGGGAGGTAGTAACATGTAGTAGTAATATGTGGTAGAAAAAAGGTCATAATAAGTACTCTTACATGGACCAAAAAGAGCTTTCAAGTTCACTGTGAACATCCCAAAGATGCTGTGGAGGTCTGTGCTCTAAAGCCAAGACACGTTTACCACTGAACCTGTGTGAAAGGAGAGGTTATGAAAGGCAGCACTACACAAGAAAACATCTTTAGGAATGAGCAAAGAGGACTCAGTGATTTGGGGAGGGGTGGTAAGCCAGGCTTGTACCAGTATAAACACATAGTTTGAACATGTTTACAACCCCTTAAAGCAGAATTTGGCTTCTCTTCACTAAAATGCCTCCAGACAGCCCCAGGGCTGCTTAGGTAGGGACATAAATGGTTTGTGATGCTGAGGGTCCCACTGACAAATTGCCAGGAGGCTGAGTCACGCTTCATTTGCATATAAATTGCAACCATTTTTATCAAATATAAATGCACACAATCATAATAGAGCATTTGCTTATTCTTCCTTCTCCTTTGAGAGATGAATACAAATTGTTTGCCTTTAAGTTTAATATTAAATAGCTGCAGCATCTCAACATTGCAGAAAATGGAGGAGCAGGAGATGTTTGCAGTGGAACCTCACTTAGGATCTTGGCTAACTGCATCTGACCAAGCATGGGTTTAGTGGATATTCACATGAACCATTTGATACCTTCGGACAAACCAAAGGTGAACAAATTCAAGCCAAGGGATATGCCGGATTAGTTGCACAACTTCCAGAAAGTTCAGACCAGATACAAAACTCAATTGTACCTGAGATTTACACTGAACTCAAGCCTGATTTCTATTAGATTAGTTGCACAACTTCCAGGAAGTTCAGATACAAAACTCAATTGTACCTGAGATTTACACTGAACTCAAGCCTGATTTCTATGGCCATTAGGGCTCCTGCAGTTCTGGATTGAAAGGTACAAGCTATTTTACACAAGGTAGAGAGGGTGTTGGCTCTGTTAATCTCACTAGACTTGTAGTCACAGTTTTAGATAATGGAATAAACATGTTGCTTGAGACACTAAATTACACTGTTCCAGATTCCTAAAAACCAATGCCCTGAACTTCTGTCCTTCCTGTGCTGGCTGACTGGGGTTTGCAAAGTGTGAGAGCATTAATGCCTAACGCTTTTTACCGCTGTTCAGAACTGATTTCATTCACAATGTAAACACTGTGTCTGCTCCTAGCCAGACAGTATAGTCTGTGGGGTTTAGTCCTCTATGTTTGACAGTGACATGGGTTAAGAATATCATTATTAGCTTCTAATCATGATAATAATCCCTTTTTATAGAGTGCCAAGGGCGATGAGGAGACAGAAGGAAGAAATCACCACTATAAGGCCAGAGGGAAGGATGTTGATGAGCAGCACTTGGAGCCTCTGCAAGAGATCAAGGGAGAAGGCCCTACAGCTAGGAGGTAAGGAGGAAAATGCTGTATTCATGAGCCTAGGACAAAGTTTTCATTTGTGCATAGGAGACATGGAATTAGCTGAATGCATATTGACAACAAGACAGGGTCTCTCTGTGTAGTGGATGAACCTGTATGGCCTCCTCTGCCTCCTCCCATTGTTATGGAGCAGCTAACAGACAAGTTTTCATTTTTTCTGCTGAGTTTTCTTTCACTGTTTGGAGGAAGGTCTTTGTCTCTTTCCTTTTAGCTTACAGCTAGCATTTCCTTCTCCCTTGTGAGGAAACCACTATACATGCAATTTCATTTTCTTCACAGCCAGTGCTGTGAAGATACCTAGGGCTAAATTTGGCTCTGAGCAGTGTGTCCTAGCAGACTCTTCCAGACTTCACTGATAGCTTCCCCTGGTTCATGGAGAACCTGTCCTTTTTTTTTTTCCACTGGCAACAATGGAAGAAACTACAGATAAATTGCTACCAGTTCTGTATGCAGAAAATGAATCCATGTATGCAGAGCTCTGGAGAGCTCATCATCTACTGAAGAGCCTTTCCCCACCCTCCTCCAATAAAACAAGAAGAAGAAATTTAGGTTCCACAGTCCAAGCACAACCTCCCTTACTGTCATCTCTAGCCCTGGCAATGTGGTGAAATCAAATGTTCATACAGACATACAACTTGGGGTGTAGATGATGCCAAATTTGAGTCCCACATGCAAATTTTTTTGCCAGCTTCTAAATACCTAAGGGTATTCATGGCATAGAACCCGTCTTCCTTCTTTCCCAGATTGCCATATCAGTTGTCACAGCTGGGGGGTTGGTAAAAGGGACATGTGTTTTCTGGATAACATAAAATTTAAAATGTCTCTTGGAGAACTTTCTTTGAACCTGCTTTGTAGCCTTTAGCTCATTTCTTGCTTATTGCACAGAAATTTACATCAAAACTAGTAGTCAAAAATGGGTTGCTGTGATGTACATGCTTCTGGCAGTGCAACAGGGCTTCAATATATAAATGAGAATAAAGTCAGGTATTTCAAACACCTGCCTGAGAATCAGTATTGCAGGAGAGTGTTTCTGGCTGTGGCTTAGTCTCACTAGGGAGAAATAAACACCATAGGCAAAAGAATGCAAGAAAAAAAAACACCAGGAAGGAAGGAAGTTTGCAGCCCTCCTCTTTCCAAAATTGTGTGATTTAATATCCTCTGAACACCACAAAGTTTTGCTTGTTACACATTTACACATTGAATGGTCTTGGCCTTTGGTATCACTGTAAATAGCATGATTAAAGGTACTCTGCACCTCAAGTAGTAGTGATCAATACATGCAGCAATGGCCAGCAGACTGACTTTTCATTATTCCAGAGCTGCTCCCTAAAATGCCCAGACATTTATAATTGCAACTTGTTGCTACATAAACAGTAAATTAGTGCTAATGCTGGGAAAGAAAATGTTATTTACAGCAGAAAGGTCATTCTTTCAAAAGGGGTCTTCAGTCCTACATATGTCCTAAGAAAATTTGTTAAATGCAATTTGTACATTGCCAAATTATGTCAAGAGTTGTGGAGTCTATTGAAAAAAAATTTAAACCCAGCAGCAAAAACATTAATCATACCAAATGTCTAAATGTGGAATTGAACTGGGAATATTATCAAGAGAAAAAAAAATATTTAACTACAAATAAGTTAAACTATGTGTGTCAAGAAGTCAAATACACCCAACAGGCAAAAGAAAATCCCAGAGAAGGAGAATTTTGGGCCTGGCTTTATCATTTTGCCTGGTCTCTGTGCCAAGGCTGACAGCCCACCCTGAGTTACATGCTAACATGGGTGAGGAAGAGGATCTTACATGGACACCAAGCACCACCAGATACAGTGACACTTGCATCCTCAGCTGGAGCTGCTCAGGTTGATGATGCCTTTTACCCAGAGCTGTAAAGCCTCCAGGCAAGGAGGAGCCCTGAGTTCCATCAGCTGTAGTGAGACAGGAGGCAGCAGCAAGAGACCAAACCTGCACCCTGCCCTCAGGGTGACTTCACTGCCACTGTATCAGACCTTTAGGGACCTCACCTCTCCAGGTATTCCCCCAGGGAGGTTGTAGGGGCCCTCTGCTGTGGCCAACACCTTTCCCAGGTGGCTTTTCTCAGGGAAGGGAACCCTCTCATCTTCAGGTGGATGGAGCTGCACTCCCCCTTCAATGCTGATAAAACCCCCAGGGCACTTCCATTTCACCTTTCCTCCCTTTGGTACACCAGCACAAGATGAGGCCTCACTGAGTTTCTTACCCCAGGGTTCAGATATTCCAGTGGAATCAATAAATGCCAGCTGCTGTGGGCAGCACACATGCTCTTTCCCTTCCTGGGGAATAAGAATGCTCCTCTGTCTTGTTCAAACTAAACAATATCCCAGGCACTAATCCCATTTCTTTATGATACCACTATAACCTCATATTACTTTATCACTTGGGGATTTGACACTGTAGCATTTTATGTTATTCTTTGCTAAGTCTAGAAAAAATTAAGCCTTTCTTATTGTCCATTTGTGAAAATTTTCTTAATCCTAACAGAATATGAGAACCTCTTTTTCTCCATCATCTATAATGCATAAATATTTTAAGTAGACTGCATGATAGCTGTAAGGTTTCAGTAAAAAATATAGTTCACTAAAGCAAAAAATATGGTATAATGGGCATTAAAAATAAATAAACTTTTTTTTTCAAGTTAGAAAAGTTAACAATACAAAATAATAATGAATGCTGAATCAATACAAATGTGCTGTCCTTATAATTCTTGTTTTCTTTCTGATAGATATAAGTTTTGGTTGCTATTCTAAAGTATATGGAATGTGATTTTTTCAAACAAATACTCTTCAACTGATATAATATTTCAGATGGAACTTTTTGATAGCCTTAGGTTTTGACTATTTAAACACACCGCTAGTAAATAATTAAACATGAAAAATTGAACATAGTATCTGCTCTAGTGGGAAGATGGCATATTTTACCTCAAAGGCACGTAATAAGAAACCCTGTTTGACCAGTTAAGCAAGCAGAAATAAAATCTGCACAGCCCATTGCAAAACTTGCTGCAGTCAATAGAAACAGACCTTTTAACATCAAAGGGGTTTAGGTTATCTCTTTACTGAATAAGTGCTTGTATTATTAGAGTGGTCAGGGACAAAGGGAATTAGCTGTCACTGATAGGACAGCAATTCAGCCATCTCCTTTGTTATTCCTGCAGGATGCATTGCCTTTGGCTGTATGGGCATTGAGAGGCACAAGGGCTTCTCAAAGACTCAGGATGAGCAAGTTTTGATTTATTTTCTTTTCCTTCCTATGAAAATGGAGGATGATACTCTCCTGTGATACAAGCAGGCCATGTGGTTTATTGCCTGATATCTAGAAAATCCTCAAATGGCAGTTTAACTCCAGAAATTTAGGTGTACAAAATCTCTTTGGGTGGAAGAAAAGATGCTCTTCCACCATGCACAAACTCTCTGAGAGAGCAGGCCACAGCCACACCATCTAAATTTCCTGTCCGAGTGACAGATCATGGCTCCTCCTGCTGCTTCTGGAGAAAGTGACTGGGGTGTGCTGTGCAGTGCCAGGCTCCACGAGTGGCACAGCAAACACACCTGAAGTCAGAGGGTGCCAATGTCCACTTACACATCCACCCACATCACTGCAACTTTGCTTCAGCACCCCACAAAAAGCTCCTCAAAAGCCCTGCACAGTATACAAGCACTCACTTTTGAGAATAAAACCCAAACATCTTTTAGCTTTGGTGCAGTTTCTTAGAAAAAATTCTGTCAATTATCTTCTTTGGCTACTCTACTTTTTGTTGCTTCCTAGTCTGAAATGTCTGATCTGTTTATCAGCTCACAGATCTGTGCTCCTCTTCAGCCACAGGTGCATGCAGCAGTAGTTTTGTCTTTGCCCTGCTTCTGTTACCACCAAAATCGACAAATTTGCTTTGACTTATTGTAGTAAAAGCCTATTGACTTCCCAAGAAAGGTATTCTCCACTTTGTGCTTGACTCAGTGCATTAAGCTGTAAACTTGGAAAAAAAAAGTGAACTGTGTTTCCCTTGAAAAACAAAATTGAAAGATCTTTTTTGAAAAAGCAGAGGAAAGGTCCCTTAATGGACTTAGACTGCATTAAAGCTGCTATAAAATACCATACCGCTTATTAGATTACTCCTGCCATTTTTATTGAGTAAGCAAAAAAAATTCCAAACAAAAAGCCCCTAAAATTTCTTAAAATCTATTTTAATACCACCTGAGTTAACATTTAAGCAGGTTTTTTTTTTTTATTTTGTTTTTCTTCCTTCCTAATTTATGTTTTGTATTACTATGATAGGAGCAACAGTTTCCATACAAGGTGATGGCCACATAGCTTATTGATTTCTCAGTCAGTTATGCCATGACATATCAAAGAAGTAAAAATATTGCAAATCAGTTCAGTGCCATTGATATTAGTAGCAGCAAAGACTTTAAATGCATGAGTCAGCATTACAGCAGCTGAAAGATCACACCTTGGATATATCAGGTACCTCAGCAGGAAAAAGAGCCAGTAAGGAATCAAGAGAGAGGTTTTGGGTCTTTTTAACAGTGACCTGGCAGGAGCTGGTGACCAGCAGAATGGGTGTGTCTGAGAGGGGTCACTGTCACTGTGGGGACAGCACACACACACACCCTCATGCTGAGCACAAAATAAAGTCTCAGGATTCCCTTTATCTCCAAGCCAGGTTGATTCAGCGGGTAGGTTTGGGGGGATGATTGCCTGGATTATCTCTCAATGCCCCATTCAACTTTTAATAGCAGGTATAAAAATTTTATCTGATTTTCTACTTTACTCTTTTGAAATATTAACCATTGATGAATTATTAAACTAAATATAAAGTGGTACAAATGTACAAAGATTTCATAAAGAAGTCTGCTCAGGCAGGCTACATAAGGGGACTGCTTCTGTCACCCAAACAGGTCAGAAACCAGCTCCTCTTCTCTCTTTTTGTTTTTTTT